GTGAAACTACCACGCCTGGCGTGCCTTTCACTTATTGGCTTTTGTCGAGCTCCTCCACAGCTGGGAGACTTGCAACAAGCACAATTGACATGCTGTAATGAGGTCTGTGTGTGTCACTGGCAGACAAGCGCTTACACACACACACGTATAGTTTCCATCATATATATGTGTTGGTTGCTGGCTGTTATCCAAGCATGCAGGATTGGTGGGGTCTTGCTGTCTGTCTCCTCAGCGGCATGTGTTTAACCCCAGAATTTGGCCTTCATGCCCTCCCTATCTGCCTCGCTGATTTGTTAAGCTCCAGGGACAGGACGAAGGACGTGTGTGTGTGTGTGTGTGTGTGTGTGTGTGTGTGTGTGTGTGTGCTACTTCTTACCAACACGGATTCAATCTAGGGAAACAGCATCTTTACCCCGAGCGTTTCCTATGCGCACACACACGAAGGCTTTGATGTGAGATCACAGGCAGCAGGTCGATCAGCTGCACGTATAGAAAAGCAGAAACGGAGCAAAGAAAAGATGGAAAGAAGGCGTTCGTTTCAACGAGGAGGCTGTGTTAACGACCTCTGAGCCCCGCGCTCGTTACAACTCGCGCTCTTTACCTCGATGTCTCACACTCGAGCCTTCCACTCTGCAGCCACACCAGCTCGTGTGGGACGATCACGGCAGGAGACGGAGGCAGAGGCATCAACTACAAGATGTGTTGTGACTCATGTTCTGTTGACCGTCTAACAGGTGCTGATGGTCACTGCAAAAAAAGACCCCCTCCTCCCCCCTCCTCCCCCCTGCTACTGTAAAATCTGCTTCCAGACCCACAGAAGTCTCGTCTGTCTGTGACGAGCAGTGTGGTCCACAGCCTCCTGAAGACGCTGGCATGTGTAGAGAACGCCTACACACGCACACAAATGCTGCACACTCCATTCGCACATGCACAAACATATATGGGACCACACAGCGCACTTCTACACCAAGACAAGCTCCCTGCTTCCAGCCTTCATACGACGGAGAGAAGGAGGTAGAACAAAAAAGCTGAGAAGACTTTCCCCTCCTGCCAGGATGAAAGCCTCCTTTAGTTGGGAGAACATTAGGAGGACAAACCACCATCACAACAGGAGGGGGAACAGCCAACCACGACGTGCTCTCACATCAAACGCAGCCACCATTAATATTGTAATGCTTCCTCCCCGAGCGCCGAAAACCAGGAACAAGACTGCAGTGTGGTCAGCGTACGAAGTGCTTACACCATGCAACTTTAAACAGACTCAGCATCGCCTCTCTGTGTGTGAAGCTGCCCGGTGACATTTCAGATCCTTTTTTATTCTGTTATTTTTTTATTTTCAGTCGGGAGAAAATGATGCTACACTTTTTTTCTACACCGTACTTTCCAAGAAATGTGGTCTTATTTCCTTTAGTTCTTCATTTCCTGCCTCCTATTTTTACAAAACGTCACTTTTTGCAATGAACTTTTCTCACAGCACAGAAAAACAAAATCATAGCAAAGAACAAACCCTGCCCTGACGCATAAGGTTAGCGTGACTGTTGATGCATGCAGTCCATATGCTAGTCTGCCAGATAAGGAGTGTGCACATAGGGAGGTACTATATGTGTATGCATGAGCATTGAGTGGCTGCTATTGATCTCCTGTGGTCTGCTGGGGGATGTAAACACTGCGTCTTTCAACGAGAAGCTCAGCTCGATATGAACAGCCTTCAACGACAGCTGCACACGAAACACGGCAGGCGAGTCCTTCTTATCAAATCAGCAGAAACAACTGCAGTACGAGAGAGGCAGAGGTGTGAACGTGTCAGACAAATTACAAGCACAAAAAGTACATTTTTAAATGTGCGTTCGTGGTGGCTGCAGAAGCTGACAATATTCATATTTTCATGACCGAAGCAACACCAGCAGTCCTTAATTCACTTCCTAAGAAATGATAAATAAACTCATGTTCACCCAAACTCGCAGCAGATAAGCTTCGTTTGGAATGAGCTCAAACCCATCATGTGCCACGCGCCACGTCTAAGGCGAATATCGATTCTGCTCGAGCCGCACGGCGTGCCAACAACCCGTGAGTAACCAACCGTGGAGGACACTTGCACACTGAGCGCATCTGGTGGAGACTCCTCCGAGTGTGTCATGCTTAAATGTTTCCCCGCTGATACCTTCCCGCGGGACGTCGTTTCACGCAGGTGAGACTCTCGGAGCCTTCTCTTCCGAGCGAGCGCAACGCCTCCAGCGGCTCATTCAAAGGCCGAGTGTGGCCCTTCTTGCGTGCAGGCTCGGCACTCGCTCAGGAGATCGTTTAGGCTTTCATTCATCATTTTTTCCAACCTGACACAAGTAAACATGCAGTATAAAGTACAGTCACGTTTTGGAGAGGCCGTTTGTGAAATACACCAAACAGTGCTAAAGATTTACAGCTGACAAGGACGTTTTTTATTTACCAAAGAAAAGTTTCATTAAAAGTTTTGTTATCTGCTGTATTTAATATTCTGTTTGCCTTCGCATGATTTCTGCAGGTGAAGGTGTTCTGGCAGCTGAATCCGCCGTTTAAGTGCTGCATCACAACACTAGTGCTCTCAAACATCTGGCTCCCATTATCACAGCTGTCACTTAGCTTTGCCACCACTGTGAGACGCACACACATGCACGTACGCACACGCAGCATCTGGCCCTGGCATGTTTTTTGCCACTCTGCTCCTCCGGTTTCCCAAACTCGTGTTTCTGGTAAAGGAGCATTTTAGTTCCAGCTCAGTCCTGCAGTGGGAAGCGTCTCCCTGAGGAAAATAAGCATGACTCGCTCCAGTGAAGACATCTGCCCTTTGAAAGCGAGCGTGGCTGTTTGAACAGCTGTCAGTGCACACCGTGCATCTCAGACCTTCCCTGATAAAACGGCGGCGAGCCTGGGAGGGGAAATTGACACGAGGAAGACACTAAATGGACAGAAAAGGTGGCCGATGGCAATGACAGGCGAGGCAGGTGGGGAGAGGTACGGTGTACCCGCTTGCTTGTCTGGACTGACAAAGAAACATGAGAGGAAACAAAACGCGTGGTCACCTGTGCGCACTGCTGGAGACGAAAACTCCTGCAGATCTTTCTGCTGATGGAAAGCACCGAGGAGGAAGCTCACACAGGGAAAAGCCATTAGTTACTGTGTGTTCTGACAATGTAAATGTTTTGTATGTTTACAGGACCCGGTTTCAATATTCAGGTGTGCTGCGGAGCCACAGAGGGTCTCAGTACAAAGGGCCGAAAATGTTAAATGAAGATTTAAAAAGAAGCAAAACTCTGCACTGATGAAAAAACTAAAGGTAGGATTTTATGGTCTGCTTCGTACTTCCGCGAGAGCGCCTGCTGCCGCTGTGTGCGAGCAGCAGGCGCTCTCGCACCCAAAGAAGATTTCAAGCTTAACACTTAAGACTTTTGGTCCTGAAGTGACTGTCTGTTACCCAGTCAAGAGGAACAAGTGTATGTCAGACTTAGGAAAGTGCTGGGAGCTCAATTGCATTAAGGCTCTTAGTTTGCCCGAGCTGCAATCTAATTGGATAAAGCTGGAAAAGCAGCTTCCAATGTGCATGAATCCATTTTTCCTTTGGCACAGAGATGCTCCCCATGTTCCAGTCGACCCCGTCTTTTGTCCTTGTCAACATTCCCCAAATGAGATTCCCAAAATCAGGAGGTAAGCGCGCACGCACGAGCGCGCCGAGCAAACACTGTCAGGCAGACACACCTCTCACACCAGCGCGCCGGCTGGCATCTCGTCTTTCCCTGTCCTTATTAAAATTCCATATTGAGATTCCTCGCTGCCACTCCGCCTCCCTGGCCCTGTCACTCAGCTACCAGCCGACGACAAAATCAGCAAGTTTGCACAAAGACGAGCACATATGCATAGAGACACACACACGGCGCACAATCCAAACTTTTCTTAAGACGACTCGTCCCTGCTGCCGCCCTTTATGTGTGGGATGAAAGTTTCCTTTAGGTGAAATGTACGAGAGCGCGTATCTCCCCCCCCGCCTTTGCCCCCTCTCCATCTCACCCCCACCCCCAGCTCCCTCTCATTGTCATTATTTTCGATGGTGTCCCCCTCTGATCTGCTGAGCCTTTGGGTGCTCTCTCCTCTCTCTCCTCCCTGGTCCCTTTCATCTGTCAGGCGCTCCCCTTTGGCGACCGCCACTGAGGGGGTTTGATTTCCCATCATGCCTAGCATCGCCTCCCCGACTCTGGCTCCTTCACTCCCTCCCCGCTGCCTCTGAGGCGAGTGTTGTGCCCCCGCGTCGTTGGGCAATTATCCCTGGGAGTAATGAGGAGCGTCTCTCCCTCTGCGGCACGCTGACTGACACCTCTCCCACTCATTTGTCAACAAATCAGACGGCTGGTGTGGGCGGCCATATTGAGCTGAGGGTTGTCGTAGGGAAGCTCAGGCTGAGGCGCATCGCCACGTCTCCCTCTCTCTTTTTCTGTATCCTCCTCCATCCCTTCCTCTCTATCTCTGCCACCTCGTTATCTCTGACAGGGTGTCATTCGTTCCAACTCTCACTCCTCCCGTGTTAACCCTCCACACGCTCCCATGTATTTGTGTTCCTCAGCCACCAAGAGAAATCTGACTTCCAACAGCCCTAATGGTCATATGTGGCTAATGATCACTGAGCTGAATAAGTGACAGCGTTCAATTTATTTGTGTGGAAGCCGCTCACAGCCTGCCTCTGTAAACACTTTGCCCGACTACATGCTGACGACTAAAGTGCAGAAGGGGGAAATGTTTTCAGATATGCCTTTACTCACAAAAGCTCCTTTCAATTTGTCACCTTTAGTGGATGCAGCTGCAGAGGATATGTTACCCTCATCGGCCCTGTCATGTCAGGGGCGAGCAAAGCCTTTGATGTGCTGGTTAAACGCTGCATACTTTAAAGAAGCCCGATGAGTGACTGCGCTTTCTCTTTAGATACGAGCTGGGAGAATTGTGCAAACATAACAGCGCGTCGTGTGCGTCTCACTCACTGTGCTCTTTGCGCTCCTCGGGGCTCGATGAAGCCTCTCCATCAGACAGCAGGCCGGACATGGAGAACAGCTTCCTCCCCGACTCCTCCCCAGCTTTGAGGGAGCCTCCGAGGGAGCCAAAGTCAAACTCCTTCCCCTCCACCTCTGGAAAGCAGCTTTTCAGCCTCTTGGCGGGGGTGAAAGCAGACTGGTAACCCCCGGACTCCCTCTCATCTTGAGGCGAGGAGAAAGGCCGGAAGGCGCCCACACCGCTGTGGTTGAGCATGCCCAGGGTGGAGCAGTCCAGGTTTGGTGGGGTGAACTGTGGGTGCAGGTGGAGCAGGGAGGCCGGGAAGTCTCGGGACGAAAAGGTGCCTGACATGGGGCCCTGGCGCTGATACATGGAGGTAAACGTGTAGGAGGCTGAAGGGAAGGGGAGGTGGAGGTCCTTCTCCACAGAGACGGGGACGCCGAAGGGCCTCGGCGCTTGGCAGGGGACAGAGGCGTCTCGGCCAGACTCTGCAGTGGAAGCTAGGACCATCAGGGCAGGGGACGCCAGTGGAGCCGGTAGGTAGGAGGGGCTGTCCATCTTGAAGGGGCGGTGGAGGTCCATTCACCTCCTTTATGCTGGTTCTGAGAAGACGAGGAGACAAACGAGAGGAGAGAGAAAAGTGTTTGGATGAGACACAAGAAGAAATGATTCTCAGTGACTGTTGTTAGGCAGACAGGAAATTATTTCATTTTGTCAAATTTACAGGAAATTGTTTGATGTCCTCTTTAACGACAAGATCTTGATTTCTTCATTTTGTGAAATACACCCAGCTGCTTTTGTGAGGCATTTTTACAATTACAGGTTTCGACTAATTTCAGCAGAAAAATGGGTTTGAGGAGGCCTACTGCGCCTGTAAATAATTACGACGGGAATAAATTGCCAATAAAACACACACGTAGCTGGAGCCTGCAAAGGATCGTTTTGATAGCGAAGTCTAAGCGATTAAATTGTGGAAATCATGCAAACGCATTTGGGAAAGACGACGATTCTTTTTTTCTCCTTCTTCTTTCAGACTTGAAAAGAGAATAAATCAAGACAAATGTGTCCGGTAAAATTAAATTCTAGCAATATTTTTGTTGTTGTTTTTATTCTTTTTTGTTCTAAGGCACAAAAGTAATCTGTGCTGACGCGCAAAAGACTGATCCGCTTTAGTTATTGAGAAGTTTGAAAAAGTGCGCTTCATATGAAATGATGAGAGGCCTCAAACAGGGAAAAAGGTTCGGGCCCACACAACCACTTTTTTTTTTCTTACATCAGAAGCAAAACTATTCAGGAAATTTACCAAAAACAAAATAAAAGTTGGGACTCTTAAGAGGGACAAAAACGACTTAATTTTTTTAAAACAAAAAAAGCCCCTAAATGAACAAACTGGCAAAATACAGACGAAACGTTGCAAATTACTGACAGTTTTTCAGCGCCTCGTACTTTCTGCTCGCGTCCAAGAGCGCAAATGTGACCCCGGTTTATCCCAGGAATTAGCCTCCCACCGTTTTTCCAAGTCTTTCCACGAGTGTGTTATAAAAGTGGGGGCTTTTTTCTCAGTAAGCTCACAAGTTCCCTAACTTTAGGAAAACACACGCAACAAAAGCTCACACCAGAACACATGGCAATCAAAAAGCCAATTAAACCAATTAAACCAAATGAAGGCGTAATCACTGGAATTATCGCGAAGCATCAGTCAGCACTTACCGTGATGAAGTCTCGAAGCGAGATTTATTTCGCCGCCAACTCTCTCTCTTTCTCACTTTGCCTTTCTTCCAAGTTACAGTTAATTTCAAGGACGCGGCACTTTCTCCCGGTTACGCAGGAATGAGAGAGGGAAAAAGACCTGCAGCTGCGGGCAGCGTCGGCTTTTTCGGTCCTCCTCCAGATGTTGTGAGTGTTTACGAGTTAAGGCTGAGATGAGGCGCGCAGCTGCTGTGTTCCTGCGCAGGATCGAGGCATCAGTGAGTGGACTGGCTGCGGGTCGGTCTGTCTCTGTTGGTCTGTGCGCTCTGTGTGACAATCCCCCCTCCACCCCTCTCTTTCCACTTTACCCTGCCCTCTTTCTCTGTAGCCTCGTCCCCCCCACCCCTCTCTCCTCCGCGCTCTCCCCCTGAGACACGCCGCGTGCGATGGACACATTCAATTTCTCGTCCTCGTTTAAGGTGAGTTACAGTGAAATTGAGTCAAAAGAAAAATGCACTTATCAGCTGCGCACAGAGTAGGGGTGGGTGGGGATAAGAAGAGAACTTGAGGGATTAAAAGTGTCAGATTATATCTGCGAATATAGAATCAAACGTGGTAACTTTCACTGAAAACTCGTGAATATCCGGTTATTGTCACCTGCGCTTCTTAACTCGCAGAGTCGAATCCACCACATCAGTCTGAGTTTATGAAGGACATGCATGCACCAAAATGAAACCTTTCAGCTGCTTTCAGTGCATTAGTGCTATATACTAAGTTCACCAACTCATCGCTTTCTGTGCGCCCGCGCACGCGCGAGCGAGCGCGTGTGGCGCCGCTGCTTTGAATGGCAGGTAAATGAGTTATCTGCTCCTCCGTGGCTCACTGAGCATGTACAGTCGCCAGCCTGTGTGATTGACACTTGGGAATATTCCCTTTTGATGAGACACAGTGCAAACCAATGGTATTATTTGTCACAGATAATCTGCTTTCAAGTCCAACACATTACGCGCGGCGTAATATCTACATTATTCATATCTGATTTCCAGCACATTGTCAGAAAGAACAGCTCAGAGCGCCACAAATCAGCCCAAATCACTCTTAATTTGTTTTTATCGGTATTGGTATTGCTTAAAGACTTTTTGAAATAATGTAATTGAAATAATTCCTTATTCCCTCGAGCCAATCCAGAGGCTTTACACTGCTAATCTAATGTGACACGCAATTTCCGTCTCTCAGACGATTGCTTCCCCTCAGGTCCCTGTCTTTAATGAACAGCCATTTGGCTGTGAGCCTGTGTGCCTGCATTTGTACGTGTGTGTGTAATCAGAGAGCGAGACACAGTCCTGAGATAGGAAATGAGTGAAATGGGAATATCCCGGCCAAGAAGACACAAGGAAGAGGGTTGTGGGGAAACATAGCTTGAGATCAGTGGCTTCGCTGTACTAAATCAGCCTGAAAACACACCACATAATTGAGATGTAAAAATAAACACTGACTCTCTCGATGGCATTAGCCAAGAGTGAAGAGGGCCACCGTTTAGCCTGGACAGTTCCGCTGTCTCCCGCATCCTTAAAATGCTCCCAGAGATGAAGCTTGCCATGTGCACCACTTCCTTTCACACCCAGCCGCTGGTGGAGAGGTGGAGGGCCAGACAGCAGATGCAGACCTTTAAAGGGACACATAAACCAGACCGACTCTGTCGCCGTGTTGCCCTCGGACCAGTACGGGAGCGTGCAACACATGTGTCCCTCGTGACAAAGCAAGGTCACTGCTCCGCTTAGAGAGCTCCCTCTCATTCAGTCCTTGTTGTTTTGAGGTCACACATACCGTCACACACCCGCACACGCCAGGGGTAAAGGCGAGGATTAAACGCAGAGGATTCCCAAACTGAATGACCTCCATTTAATTGCAAATGTGTAATCAAAAGTCACCTTTTTTGGAAACCCCTCCTCCGTTGTTTGGCTAAGAAACACCAAAAATATCCTAATTTGCCAACTGATCAGTGAACACCCGCTCCCCACGAGTGGCTGCATTGACATTACGATTATTATATCTTCCCCGTTCCTCCAATTTGCCCCGTGTGCTAGTGGCCGTGGGGGGTGCGCAGTGGATGATGGGTGTGTGTCCTGCAGGCCCAGTGAAGTGTTAATGATGTCCCCGCTGCCTCAGCCAGGTTACGGCACAGGGACCGTTAGCCGCCCAGGGTAACTGCACGGCTCCCAGAATAAATTGCCACCCGAAGCCACGCAGGCTGGTCAGCCAGCCAATTACAGGCCTGCCCGCTCAGCTGAGGATGATGGGATGCGATGTTAATTGTAAGCTTTCATTTTCTGGCAGGAGGTGAGTCACTTGGCTGTCTTCTTGACTGCCGTACACACGCAGAGCATAACATCTTAATGCACGCAGTTTATGCTTAGAGTGTGTGTGTGCGTGTGTGTGTGTGTGTGTGTGTGTGTGTGTGTGTGTGTCTTTTTGGTTCTGGTTTATGTGGTCATATTCATCTGCCCCATCTCGCTCCGTTTTTTTCTTCCTTTAAAAGAAAATTGAGTTTTGAATCATTTACAAGCAGTTTTAATGGTATTTAAATGTTACAGCTTAGTTTCTGTGGTCTTCAGTGTAATTCCCAGCAAGTAAGAGATGAGATGAGGGGAATTAAATCAACATGATGAGAGTTCTTCACTTCTTTTATTAGGATGCCAGAGGTCATCTGTAGAGTCTTTTAACTTTCTCAATTGGAGTAGTGAACAGTAAATCGTCAAGTTTGTTTTTTTTTACTCTGCCTTTCATATCAGTTGTTGTTGCTTTTTTTCTGGGGCACTGGATAAACTAAGTTACTGCTGTAATCATTCCCACAGACCAATTAGAGATAATTACTTTTTGCTGTGAGACTCACAATGTCCAATTACAGCAAAATGGCTTCAAAATTCATACAATGTTGCCAAATTAAAAGCAAAATGATACAAAAACGGGCCGAATGATTATTGGTTTTTTTTGGTGGGTGTACCTGCTGGTGAAGTTAAAGGAGAGCCGGGCACAATTCAAAGTCTCACCGACGGTGACGGGAAGAGCCCCGGCAGCATCAGCAGTGAAGATGAAGAGTGCTCAGTTCTCTGGAGTCAGTCGGGTAGTAGTCGTGCAGCCGAGTGCCACACTCTTCTCAGTATATCAACATAGACTGTCTGGTAGCAGTGCTATGGAGAGAGAGGTTAGCTACTATATTAACATACAGAGAGACAGCGCCAGAGCAGAGCAGTCTGCCAAAGACTCAGCAGTGGAAGTGAGACACAGAGAGGCCATCGACCAGACAGCTGCAAGATGGAGTGGAAGAGAACGTGTGAGAGATGAGCTGTCGAACATGTGACGGGTCCCCAAAGCAGCGTGTGAGCGTGAATGTGAGCAAGAATACAGAGAGGTGCATTATGGTCTCAATCATTGATCGCTTCCTCCCGAGGGGGCGGGCGTCTGCCCTCCGCCACACGTGTAAACACACTCGGCTGTGTGTGTTCACATTCACAGCGCACTGTTGTGTTTCCTCAACTTTTGTCGCTACTCTGCCGCCAAATGTGTGACGGTTTAAGAATCCCACAACTTCTTCAGCACTTTCAGGAATGTGTCTCAGACACGTGACGGCTTTTACTCGAGCCTAGTTTTAGGAAACGTGACGGGGATAAACCGAAGGAACGTGTTACCTGTGGGATGCATCGCTGATAGGTGTGGTGGGATCCCAGGTGATGTAGGACTCATGAGTGACGGACGAAAGGATTAGAAAAGAAAGACAAAGTGACGCGGTGGTTAAAGGTCACGGTCCAGTAGAGGCTGCAGATGCAAACAGCAATAAGAAATCATACTGTACACCAACACGGTTATTTACGTCGTGCTTTCAAAGACACGGGGACATTTGTTTTTGTTACCTCCTGCAAAAAAATAACCATTATCACCATTATAACCATTATAACCACATACAATGCTGATCATTGTTTGTTGTTTGCAGTGCCAGAGGGAAATATATGTAACGCATTATTCAGAATAATGTATTTGACTAAATGCATTTAGGTCTTAATAAGCAGAATTAAAACAGCTGATTTTCCATCTTCTGTCTCATAATTCTGAAACAAGTCGTCAAAGTTCCCACATCTAAAAAAAGAAATAATAATAAACCCAGCAGAGTTAAACAGGCTGTTGTTTCATCGAGAGAAATATTTAAATATCGCAGAAAGAATAAAATACAGATCGTCTGTTGGAGGTAAACAGGCCTGAAAACAGTACAACTAAATTTGCCAAAACAATTACAGCAGCTAAATTCAGAGTTTATTAAATACAATAAAAACATTTATTTTATATATTTATTATTATTACTATTAATTAATGATGATTTTACCCTAATTATTATCAACATATAGCCAGCACAATATTTGTGTCGAACAACACCAAACATCTTATTTCTAATGTCTTATTTGTCAATATACCAAAATCTGCTGACCTGTTGTTCGTCCAGAGACTCGGCCTGTGCGTCTGCACACAGCTGACAGGCGAGCAGAAAGTTACACGTGCAGCACGTTCAGTGTTTCCGAAATAAACAACACAGATTTGAGCCAATAATGACGAATTTATTCTTCAGCTTTTCACCACGTTACAGGAATGACACGTCACTAAAGTGAAGTACAACAGCCAGTGAATCCAAATGACTCAAACTGGGCTCTGAAAATATCATTTTTATAACGACCGCCGGCTCCAGCGCTCCGCTCACCCAGCTGATGGTTTAAAATAGGCAGCCTTGTAATCGCGCACTTACACTCTTTACATCTGGAGGTTAAATAAATGGATTACTCATCGTGTGTGCATTATTCATGACCTGCTGCCCAGCTGTCAACACTGTAGTTAAGTTGCTGAGCAGGTCTCTTTAACAAACAAACTAAGCTGAGACGGGCAAATTTACCAGTAACAAGATGTGTTATTCTCAACGATAAATATCAGGGAATGTTTTCAGTCCCACCCGGGAATCAGAATCCGTTGATGTGGAAGCTGCTTGCCTGCTGTGTGCGTTTCCTATCTTCTGGTCATCTTTACCTAAACGCTTGTTTATCCTCCTGACTTTGGAAAAACAGAGGTCAAGAAAAAAATGGGCGTTTGTCACAGTCAGAGGGATTTCTGGGGTCTACGTTTGGTGGCACTAATTTAACAAACATGGACGACGAAGACTCTGCAGCTGGTCCTGCTTTTTGCTTTTCATGTCTTTAGCCGGCTGGACAACAGAACACCTTTGAGCACTTGTTCAAACCCATCTCGAGTGGCTGCGCCTGGATTTT